GTCATATTTTTCTTGAGTAATAACTAATAAACTTATTGCAGAAGCAGAAGAGGAACCTGTGTCTCTACTCAGCTGCTCACCGAAGGCAATCACGGGTAAAGCAGAAGCAAAAAAAATATAGGTAGTTGGAGCCAATATCCTATCATCATTCAAACAAACAGTGTAAGTTCATTACACATATAGATTTAAATTTCTGCATGCATGCAATTACGATAGCAATATTAAAGTAATAGATATGAGCCATTGCGGTTAAAATTTATAGAAACTTACCCAATACCTGAATGAAAAGCACAAATCCAATCATCTTTATAACATTCTGATCTTCCTCTTATATCATTCACAATTCCCTTACAAGGTGACTTTAACCACTCCATTTAAGCCACACCTGAAATTGAAACTATAACTTCATCAAAATTGACCAACTTCACATTTAAGAATAGTATGTACCAATCAATCAATATGAAGATAGTAAATAATTTTTTCAAATATTACAATACCTTAAGTCTTAATTAATCCACTTACATGCAAAGGCTGAATAGTTGTTCCAGTCAAGAATCTTCAACGGTTGCAGGTGACTCTATCTATTTAAATATATTTCCATAAGTCTCACAACATATGTCATTTTCATTGAAAAACAATTGTCTTATTTTAAGGTTTCTGAAAGCCATAAATATATACACAGTTGGTGGGGACTGGTCAATGCAAATATATATTAACAATTGATAACAATCTTAAGAATAAGATTGAGTAAAATTCTCATAGATTGTGATTGAATTTCAACCAAAATATTTTTTAAAAAAATCAAAATATATGAGGTATTTGACAAGAGCACATAATTGCTAAAATTCCATTTATCAATAAAATTTCATTCTCATACATGATTGCGAAACAAAATCAATCTCCCTCTCTTCCTTTAATAACTACCTTATTCTGTAACTATAAAATTTCTTTAAGATATTTATTTGTTCTTTGAAATTTATTAATATGCTTATCATTATTTTATAAAATATATTAATTATTAATATTATCAATTTATCTTTTAATATAAAAAAACTAACATCAAATTCACATCTCTACAAAAAAATAATTTAATAATAGTTATATACAAATTAATCACAAGATACATGCATAAAAAGAGATATAAATACTTAATAATGTTAAAAATAAATAAATAAGTATAACTCCTTAAAACCAACTTCCAATATTATCATTCATTGCCATAAAATAGAATCTTCAATGCTAACATTAATTTCGACAAATATCAACTTTCAATGCTATCATTAATTTTGACCACCATTGATAAATGGTCATTGATATTTGTTATTTGTTATGAAGTATCATAAAACTTTGAGAGTAACAATCTGCCAATGGATAAGAGACACATACATTACATTTTTCATTCAAAACATTAAGATAGTCATTTGTTTGTAACATTATGGCTTCTTGATCGAAGTAGGTTTCACGAAGTGTGTCTCTGAACATAAAGTGTATGTCAATGATGTAAAGAGCGTCATTCGATTCATCATATGCCTGTATGTAGATGATTTGTTATTACAGGTGCAAATGAAGTAGAAATAAGAAAAGTCAAGTTGAAGCTGATACAAGAGTTTGAAATGTCTGATTTAGAAAAAATTTCATATTTATTAGGGGTGAAGTTCAAAGACATGTGTAAAGGAGTGTTCCTACGTCAAAAGAAATATTCCCAAGATATCTTGAAGAGGTTCAAGATGAGCAACTGCAATTCAACTGCTATGTCATTAGAAACTAGAGCAAAGTTGAGGAAGGAGGCAAACAAATCATTGGATCCTTAAGGTATCTTTGCAATAACAGGCCATACATTTGTCAAAGTGTTGTATTGTTAAGTAGATTCATGGAGAAACCCTAATAATATCATCTCACAACAGTTAAGAGGGTGTTCATATACATAAAGGATACGATTGATCATGGTGTGTTGATGTTAAGGTAGAAGAAGACCATCGTATATCAAAAAGCATATGGCTACATCGGTTCAGACTTTAGTTGAGATCAAGATGAAAAGAAGAGTATTGTAGGATACATATTCATGATCGAAGACGCTCCAATCTCATGGAGCTCAAGGAAGAAAAACATTGTGGCTTTGTCGTAATGTGAAGCTGAGTAATTGTCTGCATCATATGCAACATGTCAAGCAGCATGGATAGAGATGTTGCTTGAAGAGTTCAAGATAATGGAACCTAGGACAATGAAGTTGTTTGTCAACAACAAGTCAGCTATCGACCTAGCGAATCACCATGTGTGTCATGGTCAAATTAGGCATATAGATACTATTTTCTGAGGGATAAGACAACAAAGGAAAGCTTGAACTTGAGCCTTGCAAGACAGAAGTGCAACTAGCTGACATACTCACCAAATCTCTGGAGAGAGTTAGGTTCGACGAAATGAAGAGAAACATTAGGATGAGAAGTCTCGAGAACATGAATTAGATGGTGTGTTAGAAGTTGTAATTATATGTTATGTCAATAGCTAGCATTCGATTGGGTCGAAGCAACTAGCCGAAGTTCAAGAGATAACTATTTTCAACAAATTCAAATACAATATATAGTAGTGTCGAAATGTAACTTGTAATTGTATACTTTACATTTTATACTTTTTGGACTTGGGTCAATTTGTATAGTTTAGGTATAAAGGGTCAATTTGTACTTTATATTTTGTACTTTACATTTTGTATAGTTTAGGCTTGGGTCAATTTGTACTTTACATTTTGTATAGTTTAGGCTTGGGTCAATTTGTACTTTACATTTTGTACTTTACATATATAAAGGGTCTTGTATGATGTAAACACAGAACTTCACTCAATCCTAATTTCATAATTCAGTTTTTTTCTCTTTTCTCCTTTCTTCTTCTCTATCTTTCATCTTTCTTAACATTTGTTTCAAATATCCTAAAAAATAATCTTTGGAGTGGAATTTTGCATCATAGGTATAAGAATCCATATGTGAAAATGTTCACTAGTAACAAAAGCATGTTTAACAAAGCCCATTCAATATGGTGGAGGAATCTTATTGTAATGGATAGCTTGATTGGTGAAGACAGAAATATTTTTTCTGCTAACTCTTCCCGCAGTTTGAAAAATGGAAGGACTATCTCTTTTTGGCACAATTGTTGGTTAGGCAACCAAACATTGAAAGACGCTTTCTCTGATGCTTACGTTTATGCTGTTAACCCCTTCTCTGATGCTCACTGTCTTAGGAAGAGAATGTAGTCTCTATTGTCTTGTGATGGGTTTGAGTATCCTTGTGTTACTTTTTAATGATATGATATTATTAAAAAGAATAATCTTTTCTAATTATATTAAATATTGATTCAAAAAACTATTAGGTTAATGATATGTATAATATAATCTTTTTATATTTAAAAAATTTACAAATAATTTTCTAAATATAATTTCGGATGAAATATTAGCTTAAATACTTTTTTTATAAAATATTATTTTAGATATTTTATTTTTTATTATGATATTTTTTTAATATCAAAATTTCAAAAGACTATTTAATTTTGAATAATTTTCTTAAAAATCATTTATGAGTTTTTTTTTTTTGAAAACTTAATTGATATTGGCTATGATTTATCCTTAAGTAATGTAAATTTATGCTACTAAATATGTCTTTTAATTTTAAGAAAAAAAATTAAAACAATTTCTGCTATTTTATAATAGTTTGAACAAAAATTATTATTTATTATATATATATATATATATATATATATATATATATATATATATATATATATATATATATATATATATATATATATGTATATATATATATATACATATATATATACATATATATATATATATATATATATATATATATATATATATATATATATATATATATATATATATATATATATATATATATATATATATATATATATATATATATATATGTGTGTGTTTTTTTTTTTTTTTTTTGTGTGTGATAAAAGGGATCGTAGTAAAATTATACTATAATCAAGTGCAAAAATAAATATTCAATTAAGTGTAACTGAAAATCAAATATAATTATTTTTTATCAATATTTAATCAATCGAATATCTCTATTAACTTTGATGTATTTTCTCATCTAGGGTGCCTTATTTTCTCTATCTGATTTTTAAATTCTATTTTATATTGAAATAAAAGATGCTAAATATTAAGATACGTTTTTATTTTATCAATTTTTTTTATCTAATTCAACCCCAATCATAAAGAAAATGACCACAAAAATAAAAGTAAAATAGTTTTCTAAGGATTATAAGTCCCAATTTAAAAATAAAAAAAAAACACACGTTATAAATTAAAAAAAAAAATAAACGTAAAATTAAATAAATAAAATAATTAAAAAATAGAAAAGTGGTAGTAAAATCACAGGGGGCACAGCAAACTTGTGTTATCTCAGTGAGAGAGAAAAAAACTAAATCTAATTAAATCTTTAATAAGATAAATAATAAACTAAGAAGAAAGAGATTGATATATTTGTAGTCAATTTAATTGTTGATTGATTTCATAATCAATTTTATATCTTCTTATTTTCTTTCCTTCCATATGTGTTGCATCTTAAAACTCTATAAATACTTTACATAACCAAACAAAGTTTAAGAATAGAAAAAACAACAAAGTTTATAAGAGGGTAGAAGTTTAACCAGACCGGTAAATTTCGCATATTTTCTGAAGCTATTTTTCTCATTTATTTTTAAGTTTTATGTGTGTAGTTTGTAAAAAATTAAAGTTTTATTTCATACTATTCTAATACACTCATGTCACTTTTAACTTTCTTTTAGCCGCTGCTTTCTTGCTTTTTGATTATTACCGAATATGGACCCAGGTATTTCTAATATATAAATTTTTTTGTGAAATACTTTTATTTTTTATTAATATTTTTATAAATTATTTTTGTTTTTTTATTGACATGACCATATTTTTACTGTCTAATATCATAGAATCTGCATCCTCCTCAATTCAACAGAGGTCCTTTTGGATGCAGAAACTTATAGTATTTGCTGGAATGGTCCTTCTTGCCGGCTTTTTTATACTGTTACTTCTCATCTTCCGTTTTCGCACAACCATGCCAGAGTTTGGAATCAACTCAGCTTCCATTAACTCACTCAACATTAAAAAATCAAGAATCATCGCTGAATGGAATATTACCCTCTTCGTTACAAACCACGACGGTTATCATAGTATATCTTATGATGAAATTTCTTTTAACATTAATTACAACAACGAGCAACATCAAAGTCTTCTCTCCACCATTCCTTTAAAACCTTTTTCTCAAAGTAGCGGTTTCACAAATACTATCATAATTCAACACAACATGGATGTCAACAATGATGTAGCTACAGACATTGTTAGTAGCTCCTCTCGTGGAATTGTTAACTTTGAGGTTGGGTTGTCTGCTACTATCAAGTTTAAAGATGCGTTCAATTTTCAAAAAGTTCGTATTATGAAGATTGTTTGTGAGCCTCTTAGCTTTTCATCGCGTGAAGATTATTTAGAAAAATCGTCTAATTGGATTTTATTGTATGGTGTAGCATGCCACTAGTTCAAACTAAGTCATTCTTCCATATTTACTATTATTTTAATTATTAGGTTTTTAGGACTAATTACTAGTGTGCTTATTTTTTTTTAATTGCTTTATTATTGAATTATAATGGATATATAATCCATATAGATTATATGGTTAATTATTGATGTTTTAGCGAAGAGAGTTTTTGTTTTTCTTATTGTTTTTATATTTTTGGATATTCCTTTAATTATCAAGAATATATTCAGTTTGAAATAATTTTATTTTAAAGTTAACCACTAATAATATATCACTAATAAGAGTATGGGTACACAAACTTGTCACTTTATGCATCCTAAAAGCAACCATTACTCTTACTTTCGCGTTGAAAAGCTTTGTTTCTTCAACCATTAATAATGAATTTTACATCTATGGAAGATGAAGCAAGCAATCATGTGCTTGATTCGTAGACCTCTCCTCCCTCACCAGTGATAGTTTTGGTTCTTGGCGTCTCGCAATGAATGTTTCATTCATAGCACAATCTTCATTCTCGTTTAAGAGATTAAGATGCGTAGTTTGTTTCCTTCACAAAAGGAAAGTCATGGTAGTTTTAGAAGCACATTATTATCATATCTTTAAGGTTTTGCTACTAATACTAATGAGAATCTCGTAATTAGATTGCCTAAAAAGTGTTTTTAGGTTGAAGGCATTTCTGATAAATTATAAACCTAAACTATAAGATAATATTGTAGCCATCTAAAATTCATCAAACCACCTATTATTAAACAACTTGTTAGGTTTCAAAGTTTTAAATAGCATAATAAAGTGTTGAAAACCTACATTAAATGGATCTTATGCATAAAAGTGTTTATAAGTAGGCGCATCACTCAATCATCACATTCCCCTTACAAACTAATTTTGTAAAGGTAAATTTCATCTTACAAATTACTTTTGTAAGGTTAAGTAATAAACTATGCAAGGTCGAAGAGATTTTTGGCTAAGTTTTGCTCTAACTTGGTTTCTAGCATTGTTGTTATCGAATGGGGATGCTGACTCTTTTGCCCAGCATGTGTAGTTGTTCTTATGGTGGGGTTTAGCCCCTTCAATCAACCATAAAAAGGAACAGAAGCAGCAAGAAACAAACCAAGCTCTTCTAAATCTAATGATGAATTTACAAATGCAAACCGTCTCCCCATGCATAATATTTACAACTAGGGAAAGCAAAAAAAAAGACGGAGAAAATACACCGATCAAAACTCCTAAAACTAACATGTCAAAAACACTCCCAGAGAAAAATGACCATTTAGTCTCTTTCTCTCTGAAGTTTTTTTTTTTTTTAAAAAGAGAAAAACCCCTTGTGAAATCCTATGTAAAATCATTAAAAGAAATAAACTTATTGGCTCTGAGAGTCAGATGCTGACAGGAGTCTATTAATGAAGGGTGATATAGCTGCAAGCAAAGCCTTTGGACATTCTTCATGAGGTAAATGACCACATCCAGATATTGCAACTAGTCTCTGCATGTGAAATGGTTAAGAGAAACATTAGAAACTCTATGTAGCAAAATCATATAACAAGCGCATGTGAAATGCTTTGGAAATTCAAATGGAGTATAAAACGACATAAATGTGATTGGGGAAGTATTTATATGAGAAAGGGTCCTCTCAAGCAGAAAAATTTTGATGTGAAAAATGGTTAAGCGTTAGAAGCTTTATGAGGCAAAGTCATATGACAAGAATGTGAAATGAAGGAGAACATATGGGTGAGATGAGGGGAATGGGGAGACAGATATAGTGGAGCTGGAGAGGATTTGGTTCTGTATTTAGAAATAGTGCCAGTCCCATGATAATCCCGATTTCCTCATCCATTATCATACTTACAGAATTACAAGTTTAGTGTAGAATGTATGAATATATACGGTGAAAAGAAGTAAACTTACAGAATTTTCAAGTTTTGAGGCCATAGCTTGACAAGATTTTAAGGAGACGAGGGAATCTTCAGCTCCTGCAATAACTAACACGGGAATGTCTTCTACAGCTTGTAGCAATGATTCTGCATTTTTTGTTGAAAGGATGGTTTCAGATGACAATTTGCCGATCTCATGAACAGCTTCATCCCATCCTTCAACAGATAGTGGAGCCTTAACACATAAAAAACAGCCACATATGACACAGGTTAGTAAATATGCCATTCCATAAATTATGTAAAGAAAAGTGCATGGTCTGAACAAGAAAAATGATTTGAAAACTGAAGTCATGCACCTTCAGGGAAAAAAGTTGAAGGTATTAGACACATGTGTAAAAACTTAATGCATTTATTAAACATGCCTAACTATCTAAGAAAAGCATAAAGTCATGGACGTTGTTAGGCACTATGAATTTGTGATAACTCATTATTCGGCCCCTATCTCTAGGTTAGGAAGTTAGGCTATGATTTACGATGACTGCCAAATTAACATTTTCTGCTGAATTCATTACATTCATGATACAGTCTATCATCTACCGTTCACATATTGAAACTTGCAAAGGACAGAGCAGTTCCTAATTAAACCATGTACATAAAACTAAGTTCAGAAAAAAACATACCTTATAGAGATTCAAAACTTCTGTAGTCAATTTGGTAGCATCATACCAAGCACGCCGATTCACCACTTGAGTGATTTCCATTCTTAGTAGAGGACGAACCATATGCTTCTTCCCAAGTGAGGTATGCAGGAGGATTCTTGCAAAGGAAGGAACCACTTCCCTTGACAAGCTAACATTTAGCAATACAACTCCTTTGATAGTTACCTAAATTGAGCACAAAAAAACGTGTCAGAAAAAACTAAATCAAATATGACACATGCACATCAATCGCATGACAATGTTCAACTAAAACATGCATTTATAGGGATTCACTTCTGCATGTGATTAGAATCACCCCGCATCTTATAAAAAGAAAAGAAAAACAGCAGAGCTACAAAACCAAACTGTTAGGAATAAAAAAAACATATAACTGCCAAACTACACTATGCTGTGACTGAATTTGAAAGCCAGTATCGTAATTAGGCTTATCAAATACACAAATTGCCTATTTAACAAATAACAACCAAGAAGAAATACTCACGTTATGATAATTCATTGATGTTTGAACTCTTTGTGCAGCCATAAGAGCAAGTAATCCTCCATCATCGTGACCAATTAATATCACTGACGAAAATCCAATCTCAGAACAGAATGATAAAAGCAGGTCAATCTGAACAAACAAATAAATATATCTATCAGATATTTGATTTTGGATAAAATATAGGTAGAAAAAAAGTAAGAAAAAAACACTATATGAAAGTTAGAAGAATGCTAGCAACACACTCTTCCCATCAGACTCTATCTTTAGATGAAGATCATGTGGATCCCACTGAATATGACAGTGGGGTATTCAGTGGGATCCATGCAAAGTCCACTTACAAAACAAAATATCAAAATATTTTGTCTAGCTGTTCTCTAAAAAGATATGGCATTGAATAAGAACGCCAAAAAGAAAGGGAAAAACAGAAAAAGACTACCAGAATGAAATTTGAAAGCCATTACTTGACCCTCTAGTAAAAAGGACAACATTTTGATCACAAGTTCATAACCCAGATAGATAACTGAGCTTGACTGTTGCCTCCAATACTTGTTTTAACCCAGAGTGTAAAACAAGGAATAAGAAATTAACATGAGTCTACTACATTTATAAATTATAATCACCTGACTTTCAAGTTTATAAGGATTAGGCAAATCCTTTTCTTCCCAGTCCTCTCGACGCGGTCTTGAACTTAATCCCCAACCAGGTCGATCGAATGCAGCAACTGTGCAATTAATCTCTCGAGCTAGAGACCCCATAACATGCCTCCAAGAGAAAACTCCTCCACCAAACCCATGTATTAAAACAACTCCTAATTGGCCATTACTTTGCCCAAGAGATAAAGAATCCAATTTGCTAGTTTCCTCTTCTTCACAAATACCATCTAGATGAAAAATAGGGATATCTTCAGAAAAACCAGAAGTTGTAGTACTATCTAATAGAGGGGCATATAGAGATGATCCCTTGAGATTATTGCTATAGCTCCTGCATAGATGCGGCTCTATCTTCGGAGACATATCTAACCAATGTCTATTCAATTTCTCCAACCCTCCAGCCATAGATGAAGTGCAGTAACTAGAATTTGGTTCAACGTGAGATGTTGATGACAAAGTATGTGGAGGTGAACCAGGCAAGCTGAGCTTGTAATGAAGAGGAAGTCCTTGACATGTAACGAAAAAGCTTTCTGAGTCTGCAAGTAATCTGGCCTGTAACTCTTCGTCACGAGCAGTCCCAAAAGGTCTCCGCCTCATTTCACTGTCACTTTTAGGAGTTCTGCCCCCAGAAGGAGTAGGAGAACGTGGGACCTTCGGATAGCCGCAGAAAGCACTTTTGCATGATAAGGCCTGTTTAAGTAAAGCATAAATGCATCAAAAAGAATTTAGCAAAAAAAATTTAGCGGTTTTTAACTCGTATGAGCCACCAACAAAAAGTCTTCGCAATTTAATTCTCATTAAGCTAGCTTGTAGTATGGCAACAGCTTACATTGAAAACAAATTAAACCAAAGAAGCAACATATTACAGAAAATGGATATAACAATTCCAAACTTACAGATTCAGGATCAATGCGATGAAACAAGAGCTTTCTCCGTGCTTTACAGCTGGTTCTATAAGCAACAACAATATGACCTAGAGCAAACACGACAGACGAAAGAAACAAGACAGGCATTCCCCATGACTTCTTCAAATGGAGTCTCTGCCTTTTTAAAGAAGCTACTGAAGCTTCAGCTTCAATCTGAAAATTTACAGTGAAAACACAAGCTTTGACTGAAAGGAGAACAATTGAGGAAAAAGAACACAGAGTCACAGTTCCAAGGTAAGGACCGTGTGAAAGAGCAGGTCCATCACAAATGGAATAAACACCTGCAATTAACAGAAAAAAATAACCCAACATCAAAATCATCAAAATCAATAATAACCACGTCGATTCCCACTATTATT